ACAGCCTATACATAACCTACATACATTTCTATCTAGAAAGTTGTTTTGTGGCAGGTGCACTGATTATGGTAAGTACATCAGATTCCTGCTTGTACTTCCCCCAAAGATTAAGCCAATGGGGATCCTTTTACGCTTCACATAAATGCACTGCACACATGGAGGCCATGGGTAAGCAGATAAAATTAAATTAAACAGGAAAAGGTGCACAACAGAGTTCCATTTTCACCTTCTTCCATTACTTCCCTTGCACCAGTCTTTCTTCTCAACAAGCTTTAACATTTCTCATAAGAACAATTTCACTATATTCGAGCAAAATTTAACCTAGATTATGACATGTCCCCAAATGGACATTTGTCATATTGGAATACTGCTATGAAGATGCATAGGTAGAAGGCACCTCTGCACAAGTCCAAGAGCATCTCTGTTGCTCTGAAACAGGCAAGCCTGATATTTGAGTTGCACAAATCCTAGATGCACAATTTCATTAACTGAAAATTAGTGCAGAAAAGAGCAACAAAGATCATTAGGAGACTGTATGCCAAAACATGTGAAGAATGGTTGCAGGATTTGGGTATGTCTAGTGTAATCAAAAGAAGGACCAGGAGTGACATGACAGCAATGTTCCAATGTTTGAGGGGCTGAGGGTGTATGTCAACCTACTATACTACTGAAGGCAGGACAAGAAGCAATGGATGAAAAACAAAGGAGAAATTTTCTGACAATTGGGAAATAATTAATCAGTGGAACAACTTGCCTCCAGAAGTTGTAGGTGCTCCAACACTGGAGGTTTTTTTTAGAAGAGATTGGACAATCATTTGTCTGAAGTGGTGTAGGATTTCCTGCTTGAGCAGGGGGGTTGGACTAGAAGACCTCCAAGGTCCCTTCCAACTCTATTATTCTATTATTCTGTTAAAGTAGAAATGAAGGTTCCTCAGTAATCAAGATTATTTGAAATGAAAATACTGTCACATACAAATAGCAGCCTTGCTTGAAGTTAAGTACCCTTTGTCACTGAAGCATTTCACATTTCCTTGAGAACTTCAGATACCATCACTTTTATAGCTACTTGTCGCTTATTTATTTGCACATTTAGAGCAGAAATTCTTTTATTGTGTTTTAATAGTTCTATCCTGCTGGTGAACTTGCAAAAAATATGTCTAGAGAGCAAAAAAGATTATTAATTAAAGGGGTCTATTAAATTATAATGTTTTGTAGCTATTGGTGCTCTGTCCTTTTATTTTTAAAAGTGGAAATTAACACTGTATTTCAAATGTTAAAAATCAATGCATGTAATACCTGATTGCCTGGTTATTAATGAAACAACTAGAAGATAGAATCACATCAGCAGAAATATCTTAAAGGAAAGGCATCCTTCTTACTGACCCAATGAAAATAAGTCAAATAAAGTAAAATAAAATTTTGCTAGATATTTGATTTTTTTTTTAACGTTACAAGATTTAGGATCAAAATGGGAACTTTAAATGTTTACATATAGTAGCCACAAGAAGCCCAAGACACATGGAAAATATTTCAAATCCCATTTCCTGATGTCAATTTTTGTTATACATGTGTTTATGTGTATATGTATAATATATGCACACGAACACACACACATATATACATATATTGGGAACATTGAAGCAATGTTTTTCAATAGATAATGTGGGGCAGAAGGAGGATTAAACCCAATTTATGTGTATCCTTGTGTACACTAGAATTCTATAAAATACAGAGGCCCGAAAAAGTGACGAAGCTAGCAGAAAATTGATTGATTTGATTAGAGAAAAGAATCTATCCAATTTTGTTTCTTCCTGGAAATCACTTCTGAACTTTGTTCTTGAGACAGAAAAAAATGAACTTTTGACTTTCAGTTTTGCTAATTGACCTAGTTTGTTATTATACAAATGATTAGTACTCATTAAATTCTATTTTGTACTTTACTATGCCAAACAAAGTTGACAGTCAATGCTATTTTTCTTTCCCTCTTCACTCTACACCTCTGTTTCCTCCTTCATTACTTTCCCTACAATTTTCCTATTATCTTTATTTTCTTTTTTTTAAAGTATATAAAGAGGTAGGAAATATTCATGTAGGGATCACAACAGAATGTGTTCAAATCTGTTTGCATTGCCAACCAACCAACTAATCAAAACTCTTCTCTCCCATAATGATTAGCTATTTTTCAACTATGTCACTTCCAGGCTTTTTCTTTCATGGCTGAATCCTTTTTTTCCTGTTTTTATGTCAAATTTTAACTTCTATTTGCATTTGCCTTGTTTTGTATGTTGCCCACTGATTGTTCTGCCTTCTTTATCTCAGATGCTTAATCTGACCCATTTAAAATGGACCTCTATCTCATTTCCCCACTTCCAAGTACATATAATCAAATATATTTCTCCACTTTCAAATGAAGAATGACACTACGAGGTTACCTACACCAATCAATTATAGTCTGCCTATTAGTGTAAAAAAAAGATTAATATTTCTTTCAATTGCCTCAAAATTTCAGTTGCCTCAATCTTTGGCAACTACATGGGCACATCTGCATAGCTGTCTTGACAGTAACATTAAAGTGGTTTGTCATTGCGTGCTTGCAAGATACTTTTTTCTAGATTATAGCCCTAAAATTTCTTTATAGACTCAGATAAATGGTAGCCAGATCTGACCTTTTCTAATTTTTCAGAATCACCCAAGATCAGTTATGTGCACCCATATGACATTAGAAAACCATAGGTGTGAGTAGCCTTGTAACAACATCAGTTTAACAAATAAATGTAATGCAGATGTCAGTGAGAAATATCATATTTCTATATCTGCAGATAAGTGCTCTAAATATATGATGTAAGCATTTGCAAGGAAAGAAATTTATGGTGATGATCAAAGTGTTAAATTACTTTTTCAGGGTAGAGTTTAGCTAACTGTTTGTTCTTTTGCATTAGTCTAAAGGCACACAAATCACTATATATTATGTATACAATATAATATGTAGTTGGTTCCCCAAATTGGGGATAGTATGAACACAATTTAAGAGAGTTACTGAGAGATGTAACAGTTAAATGAGCTAATTTTACTTGTCACATGCCAAGTTTAAACCTTCACTTTCTTCACAGACTTCTTATCTGGGAGAAGTGTATAGTTGCATTAATTCTATGCTTGAGGCTCTTCTTTCTTTGAAGTGGAATGGCTAAATTAAGGATAGCTAAATGTTTAAAAATACCAAAATATAACTGCTATCATACATCATTTCAATAAGTGACAGTTTCATAATAAAACAAAATCTGACAATTTCATATTATTCAGCTTCAACATAGTTCTACCATTTCAATGTACAATTCTTGACTTGAGGCAAAGAGAACAATGTGTTCATTTTCAAAAAAAATGTTTTCTTAATATATAACAGAAAACTTTGATCCCCTTTCCCATAATGCACCCCAAAATTTTCCCTCAAAGACAAAACAGTTGTGATTTTGAAAATGAAAGCATAAAATTATTTCTTTTACAAAATATTTTTTCAAATTGATTGTTGCTGCAATAGTTATTATGAGGCAAGATATTAAGTGTATCATGTACCATAAATAACAGTACCTTTTACAGAAAGGACAGCTAACACATGGGTTAATAAAAATTATTCATCTCTCTTCTTTGATCAGACAATGAAATTTGAAGGCCCTTCATTATGTCCCTTGTTTGGGTAATGTGATTGGCCAGCCTAACTTATAAACTCATATTAGTTAACATCTTACATATATATGCAGTTCATCAGAAGGTGTGAAGTTGCAATCACCCATTTCTATATGATCAGGATATTTTAGAACACCGCTTTCTACCACATTGGTTAATGAGGTATGTAACAAGTCCATCAACTGTACTATTTCATATAAAATATCAGATCTACTGTGTAGGTCAGGGTTGTCAAACTGGTAGCCTGCGGGCCAGATATGTCACATGCAGGGCATGCCCACCCCAGCTCCACAAAGGGAAAAAAAAAACATCATGAGATGTCACATGACGGCAATGTGACACCGTGAATTTGACACCCGTGGTGTAGGTGGTAGAATAATTTCCAAGGTACATATTTTAAGCCCATCCTTCATTTTCCCCCTTTTGTAAATATACACTGCACACAATCAAATACTTATGATAAAATAAAATTAACTTCATTACCAAGCAAAGGAACGATAATTTGAAACATGAAGATAATTTCAGGGTGACCTCAATGTACTTTGCTAGGAGGTGCAATTTTACAGAGTTGCTTCACTAGCACTGCAGCTGATAGGAACCATTAAGATTTAACCAATCCATGCAGAACATTCAAAATCTAGTAGCATTGTGTATTAATCAAGGCAGAAAATTAACTGGCAGCTTCTTCATTCCATAGCCTGCTTTTAAGACAATAAGAGCTGACAGAAAAATCACACATTTATGACGGTGGTTTTTTCATCTGAAAAACTTAACACAAAGGCTTGCTCTGCTAAAAGCCAAACATGTGTTTAATGAAGCTTCCCTTTAAAGCAAACTGGCTTATATAGGAAATAAAAAAGTGAGGATTTGTAGAAACACAGAAAGTGGAGCTGATATTTTATACACACACACACACACACACACACACACACACACACACACACACACACAC